TATCCTTCAATTTTGTTGAATGTGTATATTCTAATAGACTTTTTGTGAAATTTTTAGTGTTTACTACATATAAGTTCATGTCATCTGCAAATAGAGATAATTTTACTCCTTTTACAATGTGGAGATGCCTTTTTTTCCTTTTCTTGCCCAATTGTTCTGACTAGAACTTCTAGTACTATATTGAATGGAAATGGTGAGAGTGGGCATCTTTTCCTTGTTCCTTTCTTAAATGAAAAGCTTTCAGTCTTTCACCATGGAGTATAATATTTTCTGTAGGTTTTTCATATATGACTTTTGTTGTGTTGAGGTAATTTTCTTCTGTTCCTAGTTTAAGTGTTTTTTTCCAATCATGAAAGGGTATTGAATCTTATCCCATGCTTTTTCTGCATGGGTTGAGATAATCATGTGATTTTTGTCCTCCTTTTTATTAATATGATATATTACATTGATTGATTTTCATGTGTGGAACCATTCTTGCAGTTTAGAAATAAATCCCACTTTTTCATGATGTATAATCCTTTTAATGTGCTATTGAATTCAGTTTACCTAGTATTTTGTTGAGGATTTTTTTTTTTTTTTGAGACAGAGTCTTACTCTGTTGCCTGGGCTAGAGTGCCATGGCATCAGCCTAGCTCACAGCAACCTCAGACCCCTGGGCTCAAGCAATCCTCCTGTCTCAGCCTCCCAAGTAGCTGGGACTACAGGTATGTGCCACCATGCCTGGCTAATATATATATATATATAGTTGTCCAGCTAATTTCATTCTATTTTTTTTTTTTTTTTAGTAGAAACAGGGTCTCACTCTTGCTCAGGCTTATCTCAAACTCCTGAGCTCAAATGATCCTCCCTCCTTGGCCTCCCAGAGTGCTAGGATTACAGGCGTGAGCCACCACGCCTGACCCGAGGATTTTTTTTTTTAATTAAATTTTTTTTTTAATTCAGGATATTATGGTTTTTATATCAATATTTATCAGAGATATTGAACTGTAGTTTTCTTTTCTTGTAATGTCTTTGTTTGGCCTTGGCATTAAGGTAATGTAGGCCTCATAGAATGAGCTCGGACGTGTTTCTTCTTCAATTTTTTGGAAGAGTTTTAAGAGGATTGGCATTGATTCTTTAAATGTTTGGTAGAATTCCCCAGTGAAGCCATTTAGTCATGGGCTTTTCTTTGTTGGGAGGTTTTTGATTACTGATCCAATCTCCGTACTAGTTATAGGTCTTACTAGTTATAGATTTTATAGTTTTATAGATAGATTTTATAGTTATAGATTTTCTACTTCTTCACGATTCAGGCTTGGTTAACCATATTCTGTTTTGTTAACAAGGGTCATCTGCTCTTCCCTTCCCAAGTGGAGGTGGTTATTTAAACCACTGTAAGAAGCTGCATGTCTGACAATTGCCATTCCAGTTGGTTAGCAACTCACTGAAAACAACCCATACACATCTGTTTCACAAGTGGCTACTTTTCACTGAGCACCAACTCGGTGACAAGGAGTTGACA